ATTGGGACTCATTATAACATTTCTTTTTTTGTTGTTGTCAAAGTTCGAATGCAAACTGTTTTGTTTGATTAATGGAAGTATAATGTATTTGTGTTGAGTTTTGCCACTGATTAACTGTCTTCTTTTAACAAATAGAGAGCAGCCTGTACCCCTTTGGAGATGAGGTTGGTGATAAAGGCGTAAATATGAACTCAGCAGATGGAAATTCACCATACATCACCCCACCTATTGGTTTCCCCTTCATGGGAAAATTGTACTACAGGGTTTATGTGAGTTTTAAGCATTTATATACAACCAGTGATGGCTCTAGTCTAGACCATTTAATGGGTGGGAATGGGAGGATTGAGAAGCCTGGGTCTTGTTAGGCTTTAAGGTACAATATTTATTTCGCAAAACTGCTACTTACCACAACCCCTATAAGGTTGGTTCTTGGAAAAACTAACAATACTAACTTTTTCTTCATCACTTCCTGTGAATAATCACAATTTCCCCTTTGGGCAGAGAACTGTATAATAATATTATTCCCCAGAGTAAGGGGGATCCACAGAGGTTTTGAGTTGTGTGGGGGCATTGGCCATTATTGCCCCTAATTAGAACTGCCATTGTCTGCAACACTCTGCAAAAGTTGTAATCTTCTAAAACAGATTTTTTTATTATGGAAATATTTAGAAATGTTTGCATCTTAATCCAAGTCATGTCTCATATTATTCATACATTCCTGTATCCACACCAAAAAAGGATTCTCTCCTTAAGAGCAAATGTAATTGAATCTTACCAGCACATTTAATTAGCAAGCTAAATATTAAAGCAAAGCCTCATCACAGAGATAACAGTAATTCTCATTAGAATATAAATACGTTTCATTAGTGTGATATGTGATAGCAATACACTTACATTAATCACGACTTACTACAATCTACAATGTGTAAATGTCAGCATAAATTACATAATATGTATATAACATGTTTTGCTCAAGGTTTTACTGTGAAAATAAAAATAAAAAATTGAGTTAAAAAATTACTACTTAAATATTAGCAATACTGTTAGGATTTTATTGTAAACTCAGTCTGATATGATATCTGTATCTCTCCTTCCTTTCTCAGTTTTCAGACAATGGCCTTGTCCAGTTTCAATCTGTCACTGAGAACGAGCAGTACCTGCTCCCGGCTCCATTGGCCTATGGTTTCCCCGACAACATGACAGTGGGCCTGCTGGCGGCATTTTGGGATGATGCTGACCTCACCCATGGGGACGGAAGGCTGCTCTATCAGGTTAGATGTGTTAATGTGATTGTTTTCTATTACTTAAGGTTTTCTATTTTTTCATGTAAAGGACTTTTTCTCACATTTTAAATTATTTTATTATTGTATTCATTATTTTGTTTGTTATTGTTGTCATTATTATCGTTATTTTTGTATTATTTATTTTTTCTTATCATATTGGTTAGGGTCTGGCATTTTTTGTAACTTGTGCATTATATATCTCCTTATTTTCTTTTTCTAATCTTTCAGGAATACCATGGCCTGGATATGTCAGATGTCTACTCCCAGATAGTGTTTAACCGTACGGCAGATGATGTGACGATGTTCGAGCAGCGGAGGAACAAACCTGCCTTCACCCCTGCATGGATCCTCAAGATCACCTGGGACCATGTGATGCCCGTCGCCTATCAGAAAATCAACTTCTCAGAGGTAAAGAGATTTAAAACTAAACAGATTTATTTTCTTTCGTTCTTCCTTTCTTTTATCTCTGAACATCAGTTGGTATTTAAGAGTGGTTGTAAGTAACTAAGTCCAAGTGTTAAACTGAAGTACTATTTTGGCATACTTGTACTTTAATTTTCTATTACTATATATTGAGCTTTTAACATTATCGTACAAATGTAACATTAATAGTTTCTAGCTATACCTTTTTTAAATAAGACTGATTATATGCTTGTATGATATGCAGCAGAACTGTATTTTCTTATATGTTATTTCTTTAAGTATTTATAATTGCCTCAACATGACGAACTTCAAGATAAAAAATGCAATTGTTTGTTAGTGATAAAAACTAAATAATTCTGTTCTATAATAACATTCTATTGAAATAATATTTTGCAGGGAGTTCTACTTTATTTGCTATTGTTTTGTGCAATATGAAACCTTTAACCATCTCCTCAATGAAAGCTCATAACACTTGGGCTGTTTTGTTTAACTTTGGTGCCACCTTGGGGCTGTTTCAGCTACAGGGCATAAAAGCAGAGCTGCCACCTGTCTATGTTACTACTTCTTACAATGGCATTTTGGCATAGTAAGTGCATTCTTGCTGCTCTTTTATGATGGGAATGTATTACAATTTAGAGTAGTGTAGTGACACACAGATGTTTTACAATCAGGGATACATTATGACAATCAATTTGGGATTACAGTAATATATTTTTTTCAGGCTGCATAAAAGAAAAACATATTTTTAATATTTCTATAGTTTAACACACTGTTAAAGTGTTAGTGTTGTTATTTGCTAAATGTATCAAACTATACCATGCAAGGTAGACTGCAACATTGGCTGAAGAATATTTGTAAATGTAAACCTCTATATCTATAATATTACAATAATATATGTGTAAATGTTTAGTTGATATCCTCTTTTTACTTGTTACATTACATTTCACTTGTTAGACGCTTTTATCCAAAGCAACATACTCAATACTGTGGGCAATCCCCACAGGAGCAATTTGGGGTGAAGTGTCTCAGGGACACAACTGTGGGGGAAACTTCTGAAGCAATTGGAAACAGGACTCAGAGAGGCACGAGGAGAGCTGGAGCTTTGATGGCAAACCCCCTTGTTAAAAGGCCCCAGCTTCTTATTTTAGGATCAATGCCATTTCTTTAGTTATCAGCTTGTTATTTTGTTGAATGTTATGTATTATTATTATCTTTATTATATATATTTTTTGAATGTATTCTTATTATTAATTAAATTAAAACTATGTAAAGGACCATGCTTTAAAAAAAAATTTTTTTTTTAATTTAGCTATTTAATTTCCATCCATGGGCAGATTAAACACAGAAACATATCTCAAGGGAATGACACTTAAAATAATTTTTTAAATATGTTGTTGTAATTCATGAAAACGGGCCAAAAAAACAAAGTAAGTAATAAGTGTAAATGTAAAAACATCTATAACAGAACTTACTTTTCATTTTCAGACTAACACTTTCCAATGTATCCTGACCACTGATGGAGTGCGCTCCTTCGCCCTCCTGCGGTACGGGGACATGCTCTGGGGTCCCGGCCAGAGGCAATACCATGACGCTATCATCGGCTACACGGATGGAAAATCCTCCTACAGGGAGCCCATTGTACCCCCAGACAACTTTTTCGGGCCTGGGGGCAGATACAGGCCCCAGCAGGTGAAGGGGGTCATGGGGAAGCTGGGTCAACTGGTGTATGATTTTACAGCACCAAGGGGGTCAGACCTAGATTCCCGGCTAAGGTGCCAGGAGTGGGCGATGGAGCAGCCAAACCCTGCACAGTGGACAACGGGGCTACCTCCATGTCCCTGCACACGCATCCAGGCTCGGGAGGACTTGTCCTTCATGCAGGACACCACTGATTCGGGTTCCATGGTGAAGACGCTGAGGGGTCTGCGATGGGGGGGCGCAGGGGGGCACGTCTTTCAGTCCGTCTTGTCCAACAGACACGGTTCAGGGAAGAGGTGTGTGTATGACCCTGATGGCCCGCTGCTGGCTGGGTACAACGAACGATACTTCTACGGAAACAGCGTGCAAAAACATATTGGTATTATGATTTAAATAATTTTCCAACATTAAATAAGGAGTTCAAGTCTCAATCGTCATCAGTGATTGTTTTTATCCAGTTTTTCAATACAATAATAATTATGTCAAAGTCAAAAACTGCTTGAGACAGTGCAAATGAAGCTGTATTCAAGACCAAGTCAAGTATATGCATTTGGATTTCATTTAAAAAAAAGGAGAAAACATGGACTTTAAAAGTATATACAGAAATGTATCTAAAGGAGCTTTGTACTGTACCCTTCAGGATACAAGCATTTTTTTACACATAAAGTTCCTATCTAATGCCATGCTCAAGGAGCTCAAAGACACCTGTCCTTGGCAGTGTATTTAATATTTAATCAACTTTCTCTCTCCAGACGAGGATCTCCTGCCGTTCCAGTGGTGTTGTATCGAGTCTCCTCTGTGCCACCTTTACCTCAACAAGAGACCGCTGGACCGCTGCCAAGGTTACAGCTGGGCAAGCCTTCACCGATTCAGTCTAACCAAGAAGGCGACACCGGGTGTAGGTGAGGGATCACAGACTGTACAGTGATTAATCAAATGTTATTTTGATGTATGCAACTAGTCCTTATGGTCAGCAATAGGCAGCAGAGAAGATGCTGTACCATCAATTAAAAAAGTCTGTTGTAAGAAGAAAACAAATTATGATACTAGGGGAGGAGCTAATATCAAAACTTAAAATGAATACATGAAAATCACAAATTCACAAGAAAAAACTTACTTTTTAGTATTGATCGTTAGATAATAATAATAATAATAAAAAAATAAACTTACTTTTTTCTCATTCCATTCTGAATGTATTCCCACAATTTGAGCTGTTTCTAGAAAATGAACGACTTTAAATTCATAGAGGATAATTAACTTTTTTCACTCAATATGTGAGTTTTCTTTTTTGTAAATGTACCACTGAAATGTAAAACTATAAGGTTTTGTTCTGAAAAAAGCCTGCATCTTAGTCTTTTTAAAAAAAAATATATATATTTCTAAATATACACCCCCCTCTTAAGTATTGTAGCGACCCTGCATAGGATGTCCAGGGTGTCACTCAGGCATCCCCCGTCTCTCTGCCAATCATAGCACAGTGATGCTGGTTGAGGTGCGGGCCTGTGGTTGGGGGAGCGGACGGGGGAGGGCGGGGAGTTGTGACGTAGACACTGCTATATATATATGTGTAGGGGTAGGAGTTAGGTTAGTGTGAGGTTGAACCCACAAGTGTACATGTACCTGTGATCATCTGTTGTCAAACAAGAGTTATTAAAGCCTAATAACGAGAAGCCTGTTTCCGACTCACCTTGTGAACGCTACATTGGTGTCAGAAGTGACTTTTCGAACGGAGGACGTCTATCCTGACGGGAGTCCGTAACTGCGTCACGGAGCTAGCCGGGAAGCTAGCGGAGATGGAAAAGTTCAGCAAGATGGGAGTGAAGCAGGAAAGTAGTGATGAAGAGGAAGATGGAGCATGCGGGTGGTCGAAGGACATGAGTAGAGAGTTCATGAGTGCACGGGAGGCGAGAGAGCGCCTGAGAGAGTCGGCGGTGAAGATGGCTAGAGACGCGGGAATGTCTCCGTCTTCAGCGGCATATCGCGCCATTTCCAAGCTGGATGTAAACAACAATGGCGGCGCCCATCAACCAGCAGCAGCCGCCGCCGGGTCCGTGAAAACACCCAAATACTCGGGTAAGGCAGACTGGGAGGCTTTCCATGCCCAATTTGAAATACTTGCACATGCCGGGGGGTGGTCAATAGAGACTAAAGCACTACAGCTAGCTTTGTGCCTCACAGACGAGGCTCTTTCATGTCTGCTACTGCTTAGCCCTGTGGACCGACTCAGCTATGAAGCGTTAGCGGGGGCTTTGAAGAGGGGGTTTGGACAGTGTTTCCCGCCAGAGCTGCTCTGGAACGAGTTGAGTAACCGCTGTAAGGAGTGTGGAGAGATGCTGCGTGCGTTGGCTAACAACGTGGAGAGCCTGACGTGGCGGGCGTATGCACACATGCCACCCGGAGTGCAGAGTGAGCTGGCACGTGATCAATTCATCAGGGCTCTCCGCCCTGCGGACTTGAGGGTCGAGGTACAGCTGCAGCATCCACAGTCCTTGCAGGCGGCCTTGGAGATGGCTGTGGAGAGAGAGAGAACGTGTGGAGTGGAGCTGCTAGAAGCAGAGGAGTGCCGGCAGCACCGGCTGTGAGGAGCTGCAGGGAGGAGGAGAAGCCTGCATCGGTTACCGAGATGACGGAAATGATAAGGGCTGTTTCTCTGCAGCCAACACACAGACCAAGTACCAGGGTCTGCTGGGGGTGTGGTCAGCCAGGACATTTGGCCAGAGACTGCCCCAAGGCACCCCGGGCCCAGGGAAACGACGGGGGGCCCGCATAAAGGAGAATATGTGGAACCAAGCCCAAAGACTCCCCAACCAAACCACAGCTCTATTGCCACCGACTCAGACATCCGAGGAAGGAGCCCGACAGCACAGCCGGGGGAGCCAGACTCTACGCTCTCCTGAAGAAGATGACAGCACAGGCGTGGAGCCTGTCGTTGCGGTGGGCCGTGCTGGTGGGGACTCCTGCTATGTCCCTGTCGATGTGGAAGGGGTGCCCTGCGCTGCACTGGTGGACACAGGCTCTACAGTAACCCTGGTGAGAGCAGATGTGTTGCCCAGTGGGACTATGTTCGAGCCGACATCGGTGCGTCTACGCACAGTCACAGGAGAGTTGGCGGCTATGAAAGGAAGAGGCGTGCTGTCTGTGTCGGTGGGGGGAGTTGAAGTGCGGCACCCCGTGTGGATAGCGGATGTACAGGACCGGTGTATTCTGGGTTTGGACTTTTTGAAGGCGACGGGCTGCCTCCTGGATCTTCAAGCAGGCACAGTGAGTTTCCGGGGGGGGCCTGTGATTACTATGACCCGTATCCACAACCCTGCTGAGCCTGCGGGGAGACCCCCTACACCCACCGTGAGTACCCTAGAAACCGAGGGGCAGCTTCTGCTAGAGTTCCAGGGCAGTTTTGCCATGAAGGAGGAGGAGGTGGGCCGAACGCATCTGGTGGAACACGAGATTGATACGGGGGACTCGCGTCCCATCAGGTGTCGCCCGCGCAGACTTCCCCTGGCTCGTCAGCAGGCTTGCGACGAGGCAGTGCAGAGCATGCTGCAGGCAGACATTATCGAGCCCTCCGACAGCACCTGTAGTCATGGTCCCGAAGAAGACAGGTGGCTGGCGGCTGTGCTCAGACTACTGACCGGTGAACGGGGTCACCAAGAAGGATTCATACCCCCTTCCCCGCATCGATGAGTCCCTGGACCTGGTCGCAGGGTCGTCGTGGTTCTCTTCCTTGGACCTCCGCAGCGGGTATTACCAAGTCCCTCTTGCCCCAGAGGCCAGACCAAAAACGGCTTTCTGCACCGGCCGGGGACTATGGCAGTTCAAGGTCCTCAGTTTTGGGCTGTGTAATGCCCCGGCCACCTTTGTGCGATTGATGGACAGGGTGCTGTCTGGGATTCCCCGCCAACAGTGTTTGGTTTACCTGGACGACATCCTGGTGCACGGCAGCTCGTTTGAGGCGGCCCTGGGATCTCTGAGAGTGGTGCTGGAGAGGATCAGAGCCGCTGGCTTGAAGCTACATCCAGATAAGTGTCATTTCCTGCAGAGAGAGGTCACTTTCCTGGGCCACAAAGTGGGGGGGGAGGGCATCGGCACCCTGCACGAGAAAGTGCAGGCGGTCGCAGGCTGGCCAAATCCTCACAACCAGAAACAGCTGAAGAGTTTCCTGGGCCTGGCCTCGTAATACAGGAAGTTTGTACGGGGTTTTGCTTGTACTGCCGCACCCCTGTTCCAGCTGCTGCAGAAGGACAGGGATTTCCTGTGGTCTGAGCAATGTCAAGCAGCGTTTGACGGCCTTCGGCGTGCCTTGAGTGAATCCCCGGTTCTCGCCCCAGCCAACCCCAGGCTGCTGTTCACCACGTTGGGGTAGGCGGAGTGCTCTCCCAGACTACACCAGAGGGGGAGCAGGTGGTGGCATACTTCAGCCGGGCGTTCAACAAAGCGGAGCGACGATACTGCGTCACCCGCAGGGAACTTTTGGCAGTGGTGCTGTCCATCAGGCACTTTAAGTACTACCTGTGCGGGCAGGCGTTCATGGTGAGGACGGATCACTCTGCATTACAGTGGCTCATGACGTTCAAAGAGCCAGAAGGGCAGGTCGCCAGGTGGCTAGAAGAGCTCCAATCTTTCGACTTCAGGGTGGAGCACCGGGCTGGGGTGCGCCACACAAATGCAGACGCTCTCTCCCGCCGCCCGTGTGCCGCCGGCGGATGCCACTACTGCGAGAAGAGAGAGACTCGTGAAAAGGAGCTGCTGGAGGAGGACATCGTCTGTGCGGCAGCGCAGCAAGTGGAAGAGGTTATCTGCCGGGAGCTCCAGACAGTGGATGTGACAGAGTGGAAGCAACAGCAAGAGCGGGACGCCGTTCTACAGCCTGTACTGCAGTGGGTTGAGTCGCAGCAGCGGCCACCGTGGGAGGAAGTGGCAGTGCTCTCCAAAGCAACCAAGGGGCTGTGGTCTCAGTTTGAGACTCTACTTCTGTGTCAGGGCGTACTACAGCGGGCGTGGAAGGAGCCAGCAACGGGGGAGAAGAGGTGGCAAGTGGTGGTCCCAAGGGGTCTGCAAGAGGTCGTACTCAAGGCCATGCATGAAACGGCAGGCTCTGGGCACTTTGGCGTCACTAAGACTCTCCGGCGCCTTCGTCAGGGCTGCTACTGGGGGCAGTGCAGGAGGGATGTCGAAGACTTCCGTCGCCGCTGTGATCCGTGTATGGCGCGGAAGGGCCCCCCTGGTCGTTCCCATGCTCCGCTGCAACAGTTTCCCGTCGGGGCCCCGATGGAGAGAGTAGCGGTTGATGTGGTGGGGCCTCTACCCTTGTCAAACAGGGGTAACCGCTACGTTCTCACGGCCATAGACTACTTCACAAAGTGGCCGGAGGCGTATGCTCTCCCTGATCAAGAAGCAGAGACAGTCGCAGATGCCTTGGTGGCCGGCATGTTCAGCCGTTTTGGAGTGCCGGAGACCCTGCACAGTGACCAGGGGAGACATTTTGAGTCCAGGGTGTTCGCCTCCATGTGCTCACAACTGGGCATGCACAAAACACACACCTCCCCCTAGCGACCACAGAGCGACGGACTAGTCGAGAGATTCCATCGCACCATGGGACAGCAGCTGGCCATCCTCACGTCTCAGCATCAGCGCGACTGGGACGAGCATCTGCCCCTTGTGCTCATGGCATGTCGGTCTGCAGTCCAGGAGTCCTCAGCCTGTTCGCCTGCCCTCCTCATGTTGGGGAGAGAGCTTCGAACCCCTGCTGTGTTGGCGTTTGGTCGGCCACCAGATTCCCTAGACACGCCTCCAGGTCCTGAGTACGTCAGGAGACTTCAGGACCGCCTTGATTCCGCTCACGCCTTTGACCGCGATCAGCAGAAAAGTGCTGCAGTGAGACAGAAGCGGAACTACGACACCAGGACCAGAGGGCAGCATTTCAGGGCCGGGGAGCTGGTTTGGGTCTACAGCCCACAACGAAAGAAAGGCCGGTGCCCAAAACTGGACAGTCAGTGGGTTGGTCCCTGCAGAGTACTGGAGAGGGTGGGGGAAGTGGTCTTCAGGGTGCAGCTGCCACCAAAGGGGAGAAAAGTGGTGCTCCACAGAGACAGGTTGGCTCCATACAGAGGAGTCGCTTCCCCACAGACCCAAGGAACATCGGGGCCCACAGCCGTCCCCTCGACATCCCCACGCAGGCCCCCCGGCGAACAGAGCAGCAGTCCCCCATCATGGACTGAGAGTCCCCCCATTTATTCGCCGCCTGGGCCAGATCCGGCAACCCCGGTCCTCCTGACCCCAGTCCCCCTGCCGAGAAGGCAGACACGACCCCCGGGTCGCTTCAGAGACTTTGTTTGGTAGAAAAGTTATAGTGAGACCCCTCAGTTCCTGTAGAGGGCAAGAATGCGCCCTGGTCTCACTGGAAGGGATGGTAGTCCACCCAGACCTTCCTAGTCAAAGTACAGTGTGTAGATGTAGTGTTCTGCTGTGTTTGTTTGTTCCTCGTGGGCGAGGAACTTTGTAGTGGGGGGGTAGTGTAGCGACCCTGCATAGGATGTCCAGGGTGTCACTCAGGCATCCCCCGTCTCTCTGCCAATCATAGAGCTGCACAGTGATGCTGGTTGAGGTGCGGGCCTGTGGTTGGGGGAGGGCGGGGAGTTGTGACGTAGACACTGCTATATATATATGTGTAGGGGTAGGAGTTAGGTTAGTGTGAGGTTGAACCCACAAGTGTACATGTCCCTGTGATCATCTGTTGTCAAACAAGAGTTATTAAAGCCTAATAACGAGAAGCCTGTTTCCGACTCACCTTGTGAACGCTACAGTATGATGAATGTCAATAATATGCCAGAAAACCCCCCCTTGTCGATGTTCCCTTGCAGCGATGGTGTACGGCAGCCTCCATTTCATCACCTTCGATGGGACGGAGTTCTCCTTCCAGGCCCTCGGAGAGTTTGTGATATTGCGTCTCTCCTCCTCCAGCGGCTCTAATATCTTCACCCTGCAAGGACAGACAGTCAAGCTACACACAGACGCAAAGGGGATCATTGAGGTCCCAGTGATGGTGCGCATGGCTGCCTTCCATCAGGGCATTGGCAAGGTCAGGGTCTGTGTGTGTGTGTGTAGAGAAGACAAAGTTACGGTGTCTATTCCACAGAGAGATAGTTTGTGCCTCTTGAAGAAATGGTTACATTTTGGAAAATTAAGTCTAATAATGTTCTTTCTGAGAGGAAGGTAATGAGACAGATGGTGATGGCATTCCCATTTTTGTGCATCAAGTATAGTTGGCTGGGAGATGATTAGCCTAGCTTAGCATAACGACGCAGGAGGGGAGCAGCTAGCCTACTTTTGTCCAACGTTTAAATAAAGACCCACCAACAATCAACAATTGTTGGATTAATCCTTACACAAACAGATATCCAAAAGTAAATACAGTACTCAAAATTGTAGGGAGAAATTATGCTAAGCTAATTGGCTCAAGCTTCGTTCTTGTCTGAAAAAAAGTGAGCAAATGGGTACCGGTAAATATATTCAACCCAGTCTCATGGCATTTCGTGTTCACCAACACGATTTTTAATCTATTGATTCGTGTTCACCAACACGATTTTCCCCTTTTTTTCGTGTTGCACAGCACGATTTTAAAAGCAATGTATTTCTACTGGTAATGTGTTTCGTGCCTGCAGCACGTCTTTTTCTCCGGTCGGGTCGTGGAAGACCGGAAGCTGTGTGGTTCATAAAAACATGTTCTTACTCAATATCAAGCCACAATTATTGCTTTTATTTTCAATCGTATAATTTCGGACTTTTGTTGCCGTCTGTGAGGAAAATAAATGGGGCTCAGAGCCTCAGAATACTGAAATTTGTATTTTTCAATATTTTTTTCCTTCTAATTTGTTATTCTTTTCAAAATAACACACTGTTATTTACTCACCAATAACACACAATTATCCTTGCTTTTATTTATTGGTTTGATTCCATAATCTCGGGCTTTTTTGGCGTCTGTCAGGAACTGAATTTCAAAATAAAAATAACCGGAAACAGAGGTAGGCCTATAAGGGACATTTCGAGCATCATTGCGATTGTCAACATTTCTTAGTTTAGGATGGCCGAAGACACTACACTACCCATAATCCCCAGCTATCGTTTAGGACTACAGTCCCCGTAAGGTTACGCAGAGCGTCAAACAGCTGTGTGAAATGGAACAAAACCACGCCAGACTATCCAAAACTGGAATCGAACGCCCCCCCAGAACTACACATGCTGGCTATTGTGTTTCGCTAAATGTTCTATGGGACGTCTCTACTGAACGTTTTCGTTTTTCCCACAATTAGAAGTTGCCAGTATTAAACACATTGGTGTTATCAAATGTAAAACATATAATTAATAAATGGGTGAAAATCGCTTGTGTCCATAATGCGCAGCATTAATATATACCCACATGACAGCTCATTGTTACTTTGTAATTCTACTCCACTACAATTCAGAGGTTAACCTGGCATTTTTACTCCACTACACTTATTTGAGTTACTTTGCAGATTCTGATTAATTATGTGAAATATAAACAACCCTTAAATCAGACTTTAGTTGCACCTGAGTAAAATTCAGGGAAGGTGATTGTCAAGTGCCAACAATCAGGAGAGATATTTGATAGTTGGTGCTTGAGAAGACTAAACATGTATCTGCAATTGACATGAATGGAAACGAGTAATAAAGTATATTCATTACTCGTTATTCTCTACTAATAGTTCATTAAAGACTGTATATTATGGCTATTTTGCACATCCCTTTCAAGATTTTCAAAGGTTTATTGACATATCATATACACAACTACGGTGTAGTTATGCAATTAGAGATGTCCCGATCCCTGGATCGGATCGGCCCCCGATACTGGGTTTTAAGGTGGATCGGGATCGGCAGATCCAATTAAATGTCATGGCCGATCCATAGTTAATATTTCCCATGATTCCATTGTTACGTTGTTTGTCGTTGTTGTTCTATTGCATCAGCCGCCATTATCGAGTTGGAAAAGTGGAACGGACACATATCGTTAGCTAGTTAAAATGTCTGCAGTTTGGCATCATTTTAAAATAACTACAAGTGAGTCGCCGACTGCGACATGCAAAGTCTGTGGTGTGGAAGTCTCACGAGGTGGTGCTAACAGGGTCTCCTACAACACCACAAACCTAATAAAACATCTTAAAAAGCACCACCCCGACAAACACGCCGCCTACTGTAAAGCGACAGCGTCTGCGACTGATGGACTCCATCAACAAACATCGGAAAACCGGTATCGGGAAATATCGGGATCGGATCGGAACCTATATGAAAATATCGGAACCGGATCGGAAGCTAAAAAATGAGATCGGGACATCCCTATATGCAATGAATGAAAAACTTGTTTCACAGGTTCCTCAACAGTGCATTACAAGACATCTATCAATATGTGTGTACATCCACCATTAAACTGTCATATTCTGCACATTTCTTATACTATCTACATACATAAGAGTATAATTCATATGTATAATATCAGTTAAAGTAAGTGCTTCAACAAAGTTAACATTGCAGGAAAGCAATATATTAGACGTTAAGTACTTTGTCAGGCTTAATATTTATCTGTAGATAGATACCCCAATTCTTATTTAAAAGAAGACCTTAATCTAAAATATTATTTAATGTTTAAATAAAGGTTCATTCGTTTTTCTGTTTTGCACCTCCTCCTATTAATATCTTTGTACATCCTGCACTAAACATTTTTATTGTAGAGATCACTTATAGTATCTTCTTGATTTTTTATATTCTATATTTCTATATATATATATATATATATGTACTCTTAATATTTTTGTAATCAAATATAACATAAAAACAAGAATTCAATAACGTGCTTAAACCACTAGGAGGTGCACACAAGGTACACACAGCCATAATAACTTTGTATTATTAGTGTATAGACACTTATGTATGTACAACATCTGAAGATGTGTAGTTTTATTCATGCTTTCACATAATTTTACAGCATATTGCTATACTATTTCAGACTCAGTATTTACATTCTTACATTCAAAGAAAATCAGTAATATCTTTAAAAACTACAAGTCCTTTTATATCAGCTGTGCACCGTTATGGTGTAAATATAACCTATCTATGAATTAGATCAAATGTAAAAGTCAGCCGAATTAGTGTTGATACTGCAAGGAGACGTATTGTGTGAAGAGAAATTGAAGATGTTCTTTAATTGTTGATATATTTATGATCCACGTCAAGTATTCAGTTTCGGCGGCATTTCTTCAGTTTTTCCAAAGGTCTTCTCATCAGGGCTCTATAAATAAAGAACTACGGCAGATCTGTAATATGTAATGCAGCCGAACCGTGTATTACAATGCCGTTATGTGATGACTTTCAAAGAGAAAATGCGTACCGTCACTTGTGTCACAAAGCGCATTTGCGTACCGACGTACTTGTGAAGCTTTTCCAGAAGGCGGTTAGATCACCGGACGACAGAGTCGGTCTCCGTGTGCACAGACAGGGCTGCTGTTAACGTCGGTCTGTACAACGGAATTGTGCCAAAACTACGCCAACCGGCTGCGGAGGGAGACTCCCCCCCCCCCCCCCCCCCCCCCTTCACTGGAGAACTGCGCTAAAACAGCTGATCACAACGTTCACACTCTGTGGTCACGAAGTACTCCACTAGCCGCCGCCGCCTCCCCTTTGTCGACTTTCCTGAAGTACTCCCCCGTTGATAGAAATCAACACGTAATGAATTAAGACCCCACGGTTTGATGATTGATAGGTGTGTGGGTTGTCTCTAATTTTGACACGCAGAAAAATGTTATAATAAACATAGATACTGTGTTAAATGGAAATATCCGCCTTCTTTCATTTATCTTTCCATTCCCACAACAATATACATAAATAAATGGCATATTTTGGATATAGTTCGAATGGTGATTAATCATGATTAATTAATTTTTAAGCTGTGATTAATCTGATTAAAAATTGTAATCGTTTGACAGCCCTAAATTAAACCAATAAATAAAAGCAAGGATAATTGTGTGTTATTGGTGAGTAAATAACAGTGTGTTATTTTGAAAAGAATAACAAATTAGAAGGAAAAAAAGATTTCAAAAATACAGATTTCAGTATTCTGAGGCTCTGAGCCCCATTTATTTTCCTCACAGACGGCAACAAAAGTCCGAAATTATACGATTTAAAATAAAAGCAATAACTGGCTTGATATTGAGTAAAAACATGTTTTTATGAACCACACAGCTTCCGGTCTTCCACGACCCGACCGGAGAAAAAGACGTGCTGCAGGCACGAAACACATTACCAGTAGAAATACATTGCTTTTAAAATCGTGCTGTGCAACACGAAAAAAAGGGGAAAATCGTGTTGGTGAACACGAATCAATAGATTAAAAATCGTGTTGGTGAACACGAAATGCCATGAGACTGGGTTGATATATTATAACAGTCACACAATCATTTTTCGATAATAGATAAAGTACCCAAGTATTCCCTCTGCAAAATCCACTCATCCAATTGTAAAAGCAGACTGGAATGAATATTTAAAAAATAATGGTAAGTCCTACTTTGACCTCTAATATTCACATAATTATTTTCAGATTGAATGGAGATGTGCAGAGAAAGGAGATGGACTGCAGCTTTTTGTAGATGATGCCAATGTCCCAGTCACAGTTGGTAATGGTCCCCACACACATTACATTAAATAATACGGTTTTACAGTTAACATCAAGACTAATATTATACCCAACCTGCCTTTTATCCAATGTTTTCAATGTGAAATCACCACTGTCCTTTCAGGTGTGGTGCACATGGGTGAGAGGGACTTTGCTGTGCGCTGTGTGTCAGTGAGTCGTTGTGCGGCGGTGTATGCCGGTGGTCTCCATGTGGTGGTGTGGAGGGAAGCCCACAATCAGCTGGCGGTCATGGTGGAGGTTCCTCAGACTTTCTACAACCGCACTGTGGGCCTCATGGGTCAGTGGAGCTCCAACCGCTCCGACGATTTCCTCATGTCCGACGGCAGGCTTGTCCCCTCACTGGACCTCTACCCCCCCTCAGAGGCCAAGCTGCATGACTTCGGCTTGTCCTGTAAGTGGACCATAGATTCATAATGTTATTGTAAGTGAATAGTAAGCAAGGCTAAGAAGGGGACTACAGGTGGTCCTCTACCCCACTTAGGTGCTCTGTTGCATCAAATCTTAACAATAGAGTATTCCCTCCATGTTGTGGTGAGCTTTTGAAGACGCTATAATCAATATTTATGTCTTAACATTGGGTCAAAAGAATATGTGTAAAGAGAAGGGGGCTATTTGTAGTGATTAAGAGAATTTACAAGCCAAGTCTTTTAGCATCTTTCACCTAATAGTCTAATAGTCTTGGTTTAATATCCCTCAACTTCAATACATTCAAAGTGACATTGTAAACATGAACAACATGTTCTTGTTTTGGCTCTTTAAACATTTTTTAAAAAAATCCTTTCCAGCTATGTGCATAGTTCTTTTACGTAAAGCCTACTGCTAGGCTTTTTAAAGAATGTTTGAAAAACCTTTCGATATCTTAGTCTTTTATTAGGTTTAATGGTGCTTTTTTTTCTCCTTATGAACAAAAATGTGGGCTTTTCATTAACAACTCACAGCCTCTTGCCACTTTCGTACATCTCTGTTAGTTGTCAAAGAAAGCCCACATGCAATTTGCTGTAAGAAAACTAAAAAAAAACTAAATGGTGACGCTTATTCCAAATGCACTTACATCATAAGAAAGCTCTTAAAACCAGAATAATGTTCGAATGTCTGACTTTTTTTATCAGAAAAACCCAAGTTGAATATGATGAATTTGTTTCTAGTAAAAAAAATTGCAATAATGTCACATTTGAAGCAAAAGTGGAATATATGTGTGCATATGAATAGTGGGCCCTCCATACATGACATTTAACAATATTGGGACACCCTGCACTAACCTTGTATTTTGTCAAGGAAATAATGGGTGAGTCATGCCTCTCCGAGATTATAACTCCCCAAGTTTGGGGGTGTTGTGCTCAGCTCCAACTGTCTACCTGTGTATTTCCAGGGGCAGTTCCCGTCCCAGAGAGCCTGCTGTTCTCTCCACCTCCACTTGCTCCACTGCAGCCTGCCTCCTCTCAGCAGCTCCTGGAGAGCCTCAGTCCTGCGGAGGTGGAGGAGCTGAGGAGAACCTGTAAAGGCAGCATGCAGTGTGTCCACGACACCATAGCAACCGGCAGCTCTGACCTGGGTCAGCGCACTCTGGCTGCCAAGAACCAATATCAAAATCTGGCTCTTGTATACGGTAAGGACTTTTAATTTGAAATGTTTTGTGTTTCCCCCATTGACCTGTTCTAATTTAATGTGGTCTGCTAGGTAACATGCCTCCCATAGTGACGGAGCCCACAGTGATTGGCTGTAAGGTCAACTTCACTGTCAACGTTCAGTTTGTTGCTCAGGACCCAAATGGAGACCCCATCACCTACTCACTGCTCCACCCCAGGCCTCCCCGGACCTCCATTGGCAGCAGTAAGACACACACACACACACACACTAGGGCTGAACGATATACCGTGTCATGGCGATAACCGCGATATGCGCATGCACACTGCAGGGACGTGCGGTTTTATTCTTTTTTTTTTTTTAAATGCGCACTTTAGCACAGAATTCAAAATAAAGATACCCTTATTACTTATCGAAACTGCACATACAATATATCCGATTAAAGCTGAGACTCCACAGATTATTTAAGTATAGTATCTAAGCGATCCGATCTCGCAACAGGGGAAGCAAACACAGACATCACAACACGTACCTTTTAGGGAGCTTCTAGGGGAGATCGTCTCACCGTAGCTGTCAATCTGATCAAAAGACGTGTTCAATGGCATTAAAATGACAAAAAACGCGGCTGAATCGGTTGATCCATAGGTTGATAATGTATATGTGGCTTTGAAGCAATTGTTTATAATCCATAATTCCATTTTTATGTAAAAATCGGAGCACAAAAGTTAGCTGCTAATGGTAGCCACCAGAGTGTATGCAGCTTCCGGTTTTGGCTACGCGTCACTCTCACTCCTTATTTGGTCATGTGTGTGTGTTAGATTGCGCTGGACTGCCGCATAGCCAAGACCGAAAGCAGCAGCCACTCTGGTGGCTACCATTAGCAGCTAACTTTTGCTCTGCGATTTTTACATAAAAATGGAATTTTGGATTATAAATGAAATAATTTTTTTATACAGAGACGTTAAAAACCTATGGATTAACCGATTCAGCCGCGTTTTCTCTCGTTTTAATGCCATTGAACACGTCTTTTGATTAGATTGACAGCTACGGTGAGACATCTCCCCTAGAAGCTACGTAAAGGTACGTGTTGTGATGTCTGTGTTTGCTTCCCCTGTCCGAGTTCGGATCACTCAGTGATGATACTATATACCTAAATAATCTGTGGAACCTCAGCTTTAATCGGATATCTTGTATGTGCAGCTACGATAAGTAATAAGGGTACTTTTATCTTGAGTTCTGTGCCAAAGTGCGTTAGCATTTTTCGCTCAGGGGTCATTTAGATGCTTCTTATGAGACTTGTGTTTTGTTTTGGTAAAAATGGTTTGTATCGTCAGTTAGCTGAGATTATTTCCGTTAATCTGGTATAACACATTAATAGGTTCTTAACACACACACACACACACACACACACACACACACACACACCACACACACACACACACACACACACACACCACACACACACACACACACACACACACTTCCCCTTAAAATGTTTTTCCAAAAACAGCCCCCTCCTCCATCAGAGTTACACATGACGTTCCTCTTGAGATTTGTTATTGGGTTTGTGAGCCTTATTTTCGCCAGATGGGACATTTCAGAGCTGAGTCAGTGGATGGGTCACACTGACAGACACGCACAGGGAAACAGAAGGCTCAAACAGTCATGTATGAAATGATGTTTTTTTATTACAAATCTATGATTATTTTTACAAAAAAAAAGTGGATACGTACAGCAGAATTGTGCACCTGTTAAGTGTCAGAAATATAAAGGCAACAATTATTTTAAAATGTAATGTAACATACCTTACTGCTTTCTGTCCTATTGACTGTTCCTTCTGAGAAGATTAATTCCAATATTTTAACAATTGCTCATAACAATTTACAAAAATAACAAATGATTCTTCCAGATCTTTTTTTGAGGATAACCAAGAACATTAATGCAACTAGAAACAAATATTTCCATGTCTAATATTAAACACACAGTTTTTCTACTGTCAATATGTTAATATGTTAAAATGTTTGTATTTTAAGGTCAGGGGGAAACTAATCTGAATCTAACTTTCCCCCCCAAAAATACATTGCAATCCAATTGTTGGAAGATATAATTGCAAAAAAAACTTTTCAAAATAGTACCAACTCAACAGGATTGATCTTGCAAGATATTTGACTTTTATTTCCATTTTATTTGGTGTTGTAATATTTATTTTCTTTTTGTTATATTTTTGTGTTGATTTTTTTATTATTATGAGGTTATATTTTTGTCATCATATTCGCGTTTGTGTATTTTTTGCCTGTATAAAATAAAATACAATAATGACAAAAAGTAATGTTGTAAGTGTAAATAGTTTTTTTCTTTTTTATTGTCTAAAGTTTTTCAACACTGTTTCCCTGCCATTATTATGCAAATGACCATTAATATACATACTGTATATAGGTTTCTGTTATGAAGGCGTTCCTATATGCTATACCTTTGTGCTTGTTGCTCCAGGGGACGGCTTCCTGACCTGGATGCCCCTCACCACACAGCCAGTCCAGCTGACCATCAGAGTCAGTGACGGGCTCTCCAGCTCCCTGTTCACCCCCATCCTGCACGTTTGCAACTGCCTTAACGGAGGGACCTGCCAGTATGAGAGTGTCACTGAAAACCTCCAGCAGGGGACTTTTCAGGTACATTTTTGATATGCAACAGTTTTTCTCATGACATGTTAAGGTTGATTTCCCTCAACAGAAACAAGCAGTTTTATATAGAGAGGTTCATATTAGTATTTAGTGCCTCAACTGTGACATTTCTCCATACTTTAATGTTCAAAAAGCACCTCTTTTCACCTTCTGTCTGAAACCAGAGCCCAGTCTGCTCCGATTGGTTAGCTGGCTCTGTTGTGATTGGTCAACTGCTTAGAGAAGTCCCTCCCCTAAGCCTATCCCGTCCAATGTGTTGGAGTGCTATTGAATGGAAATGCATTGGTTACACAGTGATGTCACTATGTTTCTGAGGTAAACAAAAGAGTCAAAACAAGGCTTTACAAGTGGGGTGGGGGGGGGGAGAGAAACACCCTCTGCAGGGATCTTTGGGAATTTAGGCTTTGCAGAACATGTACACGTAAACAAAAAACTATAAAACATACTACAGGAAAGGGAAAACCCAAAGAGCATAATAGGGCCTCTTTAAGTGAGCATATCTATCTACCCCAATTATTCAAGTGGCTAGCATTATAATAACTCATTGAACCCTTTACATTCTAACAACAAATGCTTCAGAGAAGCTTTCCTTTTTAGAAATGCATGAGCATATTGCCGTCCCACAACTCCTTGCTCCACCAATGAACAATTCACATAATTTAATTTGACCCATATATCCAGTGAATTTTAATCCCAAATTTAGCAATCCCCAGTGCCAGGGGTCTGATCCCTGGGGTTCTGCCCCAACTCCCCGCCAGATCTGCAAACGTTCTGTTGCTTCCGGTACCCAGGTTTGACCCAGCTCATGCTGCTAGCCTAATTGGAGTTATATGAAAAAGTGTGGGACAAGTATTATTTTCTATTTATGCAATATGTTATTTTGTCTATCCCTCTTCCTTTCTGTTCATATCTCTTTCCTCCCAGGTGGTGGGGTGCCTGTGCCCAAAGGGGTTCAGTGGAAAGTTCTGTGAGAAAACTTCAGACGTATGCAAAGGCAAACCCTGTTTCCGAGGCGTTCAGTGTCAGTCAGAGACAGAGCCCGGACAGTTTACCTGTGGAGAGTGTCCCAAAAATGCTGTCTCTGGAGGAAAACAGGGATACAAGTGCTTTGAGCATGGTCTGTAGTGCTTTGTGCAGTCATATTATCAGATGTGTCCCATCCCGTATATTAATATTGATCTCACTCTTGCTTCTCTGTATTCCTTTCAGACATGTGCAGCCCTCCTTTCCCCTTCCCCTGCCACAAAGATGCCGACTGCCTCAGCACCAAACAAAACTTCACCTGCACATGTAAGCCTGGCTTTACGGGAGACGGACGCAACTGCACAGGTACTGCACAGCAAAGGCTACGTTACATTACATTACATTGCATTTAGCTGACGCTTTTATCCAAAGCGACTTACAATAAGTACATTCGACCAGGAAGACACAACCTTGAAGAAAACAGAATCATATAAGTACATCAGGTTTCATAGAGCCAAACATTTCAAGTGCTACTCAACTGGCTTTAGGTAAGCCAGTCCTTTATTAGTATAAAAGTGCTTCGTTAATAGTTCTAACGCTCGAAGTGGAGTCGAAAGAGATGAGTTTTCAGTTTGCGCCGGAAGATGTGCAAGCTATCTGCCGTCCTGATGTCAATGGGGAGCTCATTCCACCATCTTGGAGCCAGGACAGCAAACCCACGTGTTTTCGCCGATGGGAACTTGGGTCCCCCTTGCAGCGAGGGCGCAACGAGTCGTTTGGCTGATGCAGAGCGTAGTGCACGCGCTGGGGTGTACGGTTTAACCATGTCCTGGATGTAGGAAGGGCCAGATCCATTCGCAGCATGGTAAGCAAGTACCAGTGTCTTGAAGTGGATTCTAGCAGTTACCAGAAGCCAGTGAAGGGAGCGGAGGAGCGGAGTGGTGTGGGAGAATTTAGGAAGGTTGAAGACCAGACGAGCCGCTGCATTCTGGATGAGCTGCAGAGGTCAGATGGCACATGCAGGTAGACCAGCCAGGAGGGAGTTGCAGTAGTCTAGGCGTGAGATGACGAGAGCCTGGACCAGAACCTGAGTCGCTTTCTGAGTCAGCTGGGGACGTATCTTCCTGATGTTGTAAAGCGTGTATCTGCAGCAACGGGTTGTAGCAGCGATGTTTGCAGTGAAGGACAGGTTGTTATCTAGGGTCACACCCAGATTCCTTGCAGTCTGAGTCGGGGAAACAACTGAGGTGCCGATGTTGATTGTTAGGTCAAGAGTGGGACAATCTTTTCCCGGGAGGAAGAGCAGTTCAGTCTTGTCAAGGTTGAGCTTGAGGTGGTGAGCAGACATCCACTGAGTGATGTCGGCTAGACAAGCAGAGATGCGTGCAACGACCTGGGTCTCTGAGCGGGGAAAGGACAGAATTAATTGGGTGTCATCAGCGTAGCAGTGGTAAGAAAAACCATGCGGGCTAATGACTGATCTGAGCGAGTTTGTGTACAGGGAGAAGAGGAGGGGACCAAGAACAGAGCCCTGAGGGACCCCCGTAGTTAATTGACAAGGGTCGGACTACGTCATGCTGAAAGAGCATTGTCTTGACTTGGGACATCACTTGGGACTTGTCGGTCTTGATTTGGGAATTTATTTGGGACTTGTTTGTCTTGAGTTATGACTTGACTCGGGACTTGTCAGTGTTGATTTGGGACTGGTAAATCTTGGTTTGGGACTTTACTTGGGACGTGTCAGTCTTGACTTTGTTGTTTATTGAGACAAGTTGTTTTTAATTTGGGATTTAACTTGGGAGATGTTAGTCTTGACTTGGGATTTGACTTGACTTGTAAATCTTGACCTCTGACTTGTCAGTTTTGATTTGGGAATTGACTTATGACTTGTTTGTCTTGACTTACACCAGTCTTCACTTGGGACTTGGGAGTGGTTAGTCTTGACTTTGGGTTTGACTTGGGACTTCTACATTTTGACTTAGAACTAGACTGGGGACTTGTCAGTGTTGAAGTTGGATTTAACTTGGCACTTATCGGTATTGACTTGGGACTTGTACGTTTTGACTTGGACTTGACTAGTGTATGGAGTACAAATATTGAGTTGTGACTTCAAATCAATGACTTGTAGCCACCCCTGCTATTCAGCCAACATTTGAGTATGAATACCAGCACATGTATTTTACATGTTTGACCTGTCTCCGTCTGTGTCGTAGATGTAGATGAGTGTGCAGAGCTGGCCACCTGCCCGAATGCTAAGTTTGAGTGTAAGAACACGCCGGGCTCTGTCGAGTGCTTCTGTCGATACAAGAAGACCAGGGACACTGATGGATGTGGTATGTGCATGTTTGCCTTTCTGTGTTTAAGTGTATTACCAGCAACACACACAAGTAAAATATAATGTATTCACTGAGAGAACACCTTAATTACTGCATCATATTTTAGGAATCATGTCTTAACCCTCCTGTTATCCTCAGATTTACTTTACACCCGTTATCCTCTGATGTCAATTTGACCCCAGTAGTTTAAAACTCAAGACAATGATCATATTCCAAATGTTAACCAACATGTATGTCTCTGGTGCTTTAGGTATCTTAGTTGACTACCTAAATAACCATTTAAATAAAACATTACCCCAACCCTCCCCCTACAGACCCCTTTATACATCCAGAATTCCTATTATGTGACTATCGACAAATATATAAATCACCATCAAATCTCACTGACTGAAATACAATGTTAAAGTAAGATCTTTTTGATGTTGTTAAAGGACCAATAACTAAAGCAGAGGGTAGTTTTTTTTATTACAATGACGCATTTACATGTAATAGTCACCTCAATATCATCCTACACAATCAACACAAATATGTGTAAAATATTGACATTTGTATGTTCAATTCAATTCAAGTTTATTTATATAGCCAAATATCACAAATCATATTTGTCTCAGAGGGCTTCACAAATCCACAAACACAATTGACAATGTAAACGCAATGTAAAACAATGTAAAAACAACAAACGTATCTTACAAGATCAATGTGAAAATACCAATTTAAAGAGGAACATAACACAATGACACAAATACAGTTAGAGTACAATCATTAAAATTCCATAAAACGAAGGGTCCATGAGGATGTATAAAAGGGGGTTTAAAACTTAACTGTACGCTGTACCAAAGAAGAAAATCTTCAACCGACTCTTAAATGTGTGGACACTGTCTGCCTCCCTAATCGTCACTGGAAGTTGGTTCCAGAGGAACGGAGCTTGGTAGCCGAAAGCTCTAGCACCTGGTCTTATTTTGTGGACTTAAAAGACAAATCCTCGTCAAAGATAACACCAAGATTTTTTACAGTGGTGCTGGAGGTCAAGGTAATACCAGCCGAATAAATTATGTTGTTGGACAGTTTGTTCCGAAGGTGCTGGGGGCCAAATATAATGACTTCTGTTTTGTTAGAGTTTAATAATAGAAAGTTGCTGGTCATCCATGTCTTTATGTATGTGAGGCATTCTTGCAGTTGAACTAATGGAAATTGTTCACCTGGTTTAATTGATAGATACAATTGTGTATCATCAGCATAGCAATGAAAATTGATGGAGTTATTCCTCATGATATTGCCCAATGGTAGCATATATAAGATGAACAGGATGGGTCCAAGTACAGACCCTTGCGGTACTCCATGACTGACTGTAGTTTGTATTGAGGATTCATCGTTGACAGATACAAACTGAGACCGTTTTGATAGATATGACCTGAACCAGCTTAGTGCAGTTCCCCTTATACCTATTAAAAGTTCTAATCTTTGTAGTAGTATTTTATGGTCAATAGTGTCAAAGGCAGCACTCAGATCTAACAGAACCAGGATAGAGGCAAGTATATGTATATGTTTTATACTACTAAAACAGCCTGGGGTCAAATTGACCCCAAGGAACAACGATACGTACAAAGATTGTACAGGACATTTAAAAAATATCTTCATGTTCATTTTATGTTTACCCATTAGTCCACACTAAATTAGGAAAAGTAATGAAATACTAAGCAAAAAAAATAATGTGAACCATTTTTTTAGATACGTTAACGGTTAAACATTGAATGGGGCCAAGTTGACCCCAAGGATAACAGGAGGGTTAACACTTTTTTGAATATTTCAACTAAATTATTTTGAGAATATGGAGGTTTGTTCACAAATTGTCCCATGTACTCCTTAGGAAATCTGTTAAACATCAAAAGACAAAGTGAAACAGTTCAATGTCAACTAATAAGTTGTTGAAATGTTAATAAAACCAAATAAATTGTTACCACATTATGAAATATATACAAATATCAGCAGAAATGATAATAATATATAATCAACCAGAATAACGGAAATTGCCAATGTGATTTGCTAAGCACTGATACAGCAATTGATGTATCAGGAACTCCACAAATAGATAAGCCTATAAGTGATCCTCAATGTATGGCTGGCAGGCCAAATCCGGCACGTCAACCATATTCTAATTAACAATTAAATTGAATTGATTGAAAATAGAAATTATTTGTTTTTGTATAGTAACTAAGGTGCTTCCTGTCGTTTAGCAAAAGTGGCCCCAGGGCAAAGCAAGTTAATCAGGAAAGAATCTCTTACTGCAGTGCCAGTTTGCACATTTCTGAAAACAATGATGCTCTACAACAGACAGCAGTGTGTCATCTGTGTAAGGAACGCACTTCTGAATGATGTGTTCGTATGTGTTTCTCTGCAGGTGACCTTGCCAATCCTCCAGGTAAAGCCTCCCTCTTTGTCTTCATTAACATTATTATAGCTCTGGTTTTCCTTTGCTGTTACCATGGTAAACTGGCCCATATATTGTATTGAGTCTGTATAAAGCTGTGGATACTGTTCTGCTTCTGCAGGGGGAAATGTGTTCAACGTCTCTGTGGTCTGGGTGCCGAACAGATCTGATGGACTCAAACAGGTGTCTTGAGTGTGTGTGTGTGTGTGTGTGTGTGTGTGTGTGTGTGTGTGTGTGTGTGTGTGTGTGTGTGTGTGTGTGTGTGTGTGTGTGTTGTGTGTGTGTGGTGTGTGTGTTGGTGTTTGTTTGTTGTGCATGCCAGTGTTTGCTGCTAATACATAGATTTGAACGAAATAATTAAATATATAAAAACAAATTCCTACACTGCATAATGCTAATCTGTTTCTGCTTCTTTCCCAGCTGGTAGACATTCTGTCCATGGGTTTCCAGAACAAATTCTACAACGCCAGCAAGAAGGATCCAGCGCAGGGCTGCCCGCCAGGTGTGGCAGAGTATCGTATCAACATGTCCAGTGACACGCCGCACTGGTACATCAGAGACTACATGGCCAGAGTCAGCAGCCACTATAACATGAGAGGCATAGAAGTTGATGGTAAACTACCAATCCTTTAACCCTTGTGTGGTGTTCATATTTGTGTTACTCAGCCAGTGTTTGTGGGTCTGGTGGACCGTCCCGCTGCCTTTTTGGGTTTCAATTCAACACAATCAAACTATTTTATGTTAAAATACTCAACAGATGTTTACTTCATTTCAATTACAAGCAATATAAACAGCATATATGGTTAATATTTGCCCTTTTACATTTGTTACTATAGATCACATTAATGAGTTAAAGTGCTACTCGTTTTTTTGCCCGCTGACTGGCTGGTCCTGTGGCTTGTCTTTTTTTTGTAACTAGCTGATGCTCAATCTCATCCTCTTCTTCAAAGTCACTGTCAGACTCAGAATTCTCAGAAATGTGATCCTCACATTCTGAAACCTCTTCCTCTTCCTCTACATCATCATCAAATGGTTCTCTGTCTTCCAAAATCATTTGCAAGGCCCTCTGAGCAGAGAATAGTTTGGCCATCTTGATCAGTTGTGATAGGGACCCAAACTGGCGTAGCTGTATTTATTTACCCCAAATTTGCAGTTGGGATAGAATGTGAAAAAAATAAAGATTGGTTTCCGCTAGACATAATGTGGGAATGTAAGAGCAGACAGGTGTCCGTGCTTGAATTTATCCACACACACACACACACACACACACACACACACACACACACACACACACACACACACACACACACACACACACTTTTGTCCAGTGGACTCGAACATCCTGTATGTCATATAAATGTGTAGGGGGGGGTGTACAGTGGGTGGTCATTGAAAATGTGTTCTGATATATGTTCTTCACAGAAAATGAGCCAAGGCCATTGAGTGTGAGTTTGAAAAAAAAATGTATCATATCATTTTTCTTTAGCTAAATAATGAAAACGGGTCCCACAGACCCGAACACCATACGTGATTTTCATCAATGTTTAACTTCAGCAAAATTATTAATTAAGATTATATATTGTAGCGGACTCTTTGTCTGTGCTTAATCATTAGCAATCAACTAATGTGCCTTGTGATGTTTCACCTTCATAATAACACAGTAACTGTCGGACCTTTTCTTAACCTTTTTTTCCCAATTTGGGATTAATCAAGTATATCTTATCTTATCTTAATAGGATCTGTGTTCACAAAGATATTTTAATGTTTTGTTCTACGACAGGGGTATTCAACTAAAATTCAACCAGGTACAGTTAGAGAAAATCTCCCCATGCAAGGGTCCGGAACATCAAAATGTCTAAGTTGCTTTATGAATTAGTGTGATATATATTGAAGTGACCTGTAGGTTTATCAACGTCTGCATGTAATCAACAACTGACTGCCAATCAAATAAAGAAAGTACAATTCATAAACAACAATATTTATTGTCAATTAACATTGAACTATACAGATATACAGTAAAATACTGTGGATATGTGTAATGTTCCTCTCGGGCTGCATTTAAAAATAAAATAGGAGAAAATAAATAAAATAGCTTTTGAAAATATGTGCATCTTAAAAGTGCTTAATTTTAGATAAATAAAATAAAGTGTAGCAGCAGCTTGAGTTTCCCTTTTTCTTTGTTAACCGTTTCACATCATGACTTAACAGTTTCAGCCGATTATAGAACAATATCAGTCTTTACACATCATAACAACTGAACAGTTTTAAAGTTTCTCTTTCTTTCCCTCTTATATTGCAGTCCCTCACTCACTTTGTTCTGTTCAGTGCGAGAATTGAGCTCGAGCTTGTCCTGCCAGGAGTTTAAATGTGGGTTGAAATGGTGTCAGGGCCATTCTCATACACACATGCAGGTGCTCATTGGTTAGCTTCAGTTAGCCTGCCCTGGAACGATATTTATTTTTTGTGACCTCAGTTCTGACTTGAGAGGGAATGTTTGGTCAAACACTTTGTGTTTTGTCTCATAGTGGCGTTTTGGCACTTTTAATGAGCGCCACGGTCTCTGAACAAATGAGACACACTGGTTCTGTGCTCCCAGTGGGCAGGATGAACATGAATGAGTCCACTCAGGGTTAAAAGCTCTGTTCTCACTGTCCACTTTCCTCTTCTTGGAGAGTGCCATGTGTAATTATTTGTCTCTCCCTGTCTGCCGCTAACACGCCTGTTCACTCTCCTCTCCGCTTCTCTCCCTGTATCGCTAATTATTCTCTTCACTCACTTTCCTCTCCGCTTCTCTCTGCCGCTCTCTCGTCTCTTCTTCTGTGTTTCTCTCCCTGTATTGCTCACTCATCTCTTTCGCCCCCTGTCGGCAGCGGTTAAAATAGAATCGCCCCGTCAAAATTGAAATCCCCTATTAATGTATTGATTATAGGTCCGGGTCCGTATAGGTCGGCGTCTGGGTCCGGATCCGGACCGCGGTCCGCCTTTTGCCGACCCCTGTTCTACAACATAAAATATGCTAGTAAATTCCAAAATTGTGAATGTCTGAGGCTCCCATGTGACATACAAATGATGGTTTCTAGGAAGTGACTAAATTCTTCTGCCGTTTGCATTTGCGCTCTAAAAATCATTAAAAAGTAATTATATGTGGAGATTATCCTGCTGAAAACAAAATCGTAAACATGTTTTTGCAAAGTATCTTCTCTACAATATTCCAAGATCCAATGGAAACTATCATTGCTTTTTGCTCACTTGGTTGGCCTACAAAATTACATCATCACCGCACCACTCTATGTAAAGCGGTTAAAATATTCTAAATATAGCGTACACCTAAACTGATATGGGTTTGTTTAGGTAGGTCTTTCTTTTAGGGGGCTAAAATATGCTTTGCTTCTGGTGCTACTATCTGTTTCTCAAAACTGGGGGCATGCTGACCACCATCTCCTGGTATTACAGTGACTTTGGACAGCTAACTCATACAACCCCACTCAAAAACATCCAAGCTATCACTTTAAGCAATCCAAAATACTGCAGCACTTTGTTATAAAATATAAACTAAACTTCTTTTTCCACTTGCTGTTGGACTGTCCACACTTACAGATCTGGATGAGTGTAAGGCCAAGGAGGTGGTGTGTGTCTATCCTGCCCTATGCACCAACACGTACGGAGGCTATAGGTGTGTTTGCAACGGCACGATGGACGTTGAGAAGAGCCAGTCCTGTGTATTAGGTGAGGGTCTTGAGCATACTTTGCATCCAAAGTCCTATAGAGGGAGAGGACGCTGGTGCTTGTTTGTTTGCCGCTTCTCCTACGCCTCAGAGTTTGTATCTGCTTTTAAGCAATTGTATCTGCTTTTAACCTGTTTAGCCCGAGAGCTATAGCTATAGTTACATGGCTAAACGTTTAGTCTGTTTTAAAAGTGTTTTTATATCTTAAACCTCGTGATCATTGACGGCTTCGGACCTGACGGCTGTCGGGACTCACCTGCTGCATCGCCCTAATTCGCCGACTATCTTCGGCGACTGCTTGCCTCTCTCCCACTACTAGTGGGATAGCAGGCGGACTCCCAAGCCTCTGTTTCATTGCTGGACCTGAGGTATACTAACGGGACAGCCTTCCAGCTGTCTCGTTGCTGTTAGCCCTCGCTGCTAATGACCGCTACCAAACTTCTTCGGCGCCCGACCTGTTGACATGTTGAGGTTTTCCATTCCCCAATTTCTGAGTTTCAACCACTCCAACGTTCCAACCTGCACCTCAGTCAACACCTTGGACTTCTTCGTCGAAGAAGAGGGAAAACTGTATATTCCCAGCACGGAGATGCAGAAATTCCATCCATCTACTCTGTCTGCCGTCTTGTCGCGCATCTGACGTGTCATCAGAGCCCAGTCACGACGGGGTCAAAGCGCGCCAGAAACATTACGAGACCGCTGCATGAAAACACAGAGAGCATCGCGAGATCGCCACACACGAAGGAGTCTGGAAAACGTGGAGTGGATTTCAGCCTCCTCCGGCCCCTACAGAGACTCACCACATCTTCCAAAGCCAAAATAGAACGTCTGAATACACAATCACTCAGTAATAAAGCATCCTTCATTCAAGACCACATAATTGATAAGAAAATTGACTTTATGTGCCTCACGGAAACCTGTCATCAGCCAGAGGTTTACTCCACCCTCAATAAAGCTTGCCCTCCTGGCAACAGCTACTTGGAGAAAGCCCGCAGCACTGGTCTAGCTGTTATCTACCGAAAGGAATTGGAATTCTCACTCCTGTCCCCTGCCTGTATTGTCCTCTTTTGAATGCCTTGCATTTAAATGTAAACCCCCCTTCCCCCTGACAATACTTCTTATCTACCGGTCACCCAAACCCAATTCAGCTTTCATCCCAGAGATACAAGACCTTCTCACTACACTATGCAACCTCTGCCAATATTACCATACTTGGAGATATTAATATTCACATCGATTCCCCCTCCTGCCAATCTGCCACTGAGTTTCTACTACTTCTGGACTGCCTCAATCTCACACAACATGTTGATGTCCCCACACAGGCCAAGGGCCACACGCTCAACTTGGTCATCACAAACTCCGCCCCCATCAGCAATCTGCTAGTGTATGATCTGGGGGTGTCTGACCACAAGACCATCGGAATGGAGCTGTCTTTCCAGTCCCCACTCAGCAAGCCCAAGCGACAAATCAGCTTCAGGAACCTGAGGAACATCAACCCGAACACCATGACCTTGGACCTCCAGCATCTCTCTTCCGCCAACTTCTCATCAGTAAATGAGTCAGTGGAATATTACAACCAGTCTCTTAACAGTCTCCTTGATCTGCACGCCCCCCTCAAAACCAGGATGGTCACTTTCTCGCGCTCAGCCCCATGGTACACTGGCGAGCTGCGGAGAATGAAGACAGCTGGGTGTGTCCTTGAGCGGCGGCTCAAGGCCTCAGGACTCACTGTTCACCGGTTAGCTTATCATGAACACCAGAAGGCCTACGCACAGTCCCTCCGAGATGCACGGTCCCAGTACTACTCCATCATCAACAACAGTACTAGAAACTCCAAGCAACTTTTCTCCGCCATAAACCACCTCCTCAAACCCCAAAGTCCTCTACACTCCGACTCCACTGAGAAGCAGTGTAGCAACTTTGCCACCTTCTTCAAAAACAAAGTTGACACCATCCACTCCCTCCTCTCTAGTCCCTCTGCACCTCCAGTTCCAACTGCCGACCCACAGCCTGGGACAACCCAGCCTCTCCGCTGTTTCTCGGACATCTCTCAGCGAGAGGTTGAGGGCATCGTTAGGAGGATGAAGCCCTCCACCTGTGTCCTGGACCCCCTTCCGTCAGTTCTGGTGAAATCCTACATCTGTACCACATCTGTACCATGAGCCCCATGATCACTAAGATCGTAAATGTTACGATGTGCGAAGCAGGTAGGACCCAAATGCAGATTAACGTGAAAATTCCTTTATTTCAAGGCTATACTAACAAAGACAGAACACAACACTCACCGAGGACAAGCCAAATCACAAGACGAACCAACACTGAACACAGGAAGATAACAGACTAAATACAGGGAGGGGTAACACAAGGGCACAAGGGCCACAGGTGAACACAATCAGACAACTAGACACACCAGGGAAACTAACGACAGGAGGAAAAACACAGGGAAAAGGACCAGACAATATACACGGAGGAAAACACGACAGGGAGAACAGCAAAACACCGAAAACAAGACATACAAAACGTGACATAACACAATAATCGTAACAGAACCCCCCCCCCCCCTCAAGGGACGGATTCCAGACGTCCGTAAAACACCAAAACAGTCCAATAAACGTCCAAAAAAAACAATGTCCAGCAGGGTGGGTGGAGGGGGACCGGAGGAGGGACACAAAACTAGGGCCACCAGGGTGGGTGGAGGGGGTCCGGAGGACGGGTCTGGGCTGACAACCCAAGAGCACCGCGGAGGACCCGGAAGGGATCTCGGGCGGACGGCCCGGGGGCAAGGCAGAAGCCGAGAAGGGGGACTCAGGCGGACGGCCCGGGGGCAAGACAGAGTCCAAGGTGGGGGTTATGGAGGGGCGAAGGCCACCGCGGGCGAACTCAGGGGGCCGAGCATGAGGGCGAAGGCAGCGGTAGGAAGAGTCAGGGGGCCGGGCCCGAGGGCGAGGACCGCGGCACTCAGGGGGCCGGGCTCGAGGGCGAAGCTCGCGGCTCTCAGGGGGCCGGGCTCGAGGGCGAAGACCGCGGCTCTCAGGGGGCCGGGCTCGAGGGCGAAAACCGCGGCTCTCAGGGGGCCGGGCTCGAGGGCGAAGACCAGACAGCTCCGGAGGCCGGGCAGGAAGGCGCTGACGGGACAGCGCCGGAGGCCAGGCAGGACCCGGTGTCGGAGCTGGTGGGACAGGCCTCGGCAGGATCCCCCACGGAAGAGGACCAGGACACGGGATTGGCAGGACCCCCGGTAGGAGAGCAGTCGGCGGGACCTCCAACGGGACAGGACAAAGGGTTGGCAGGACCCCCGGCAGGAGAGTAGTCGGCGGGGCCTCCAACGGCACAGGACAAAGGGTTGGCAGGACCCCCGGCAGGAGAGTAGTCGGCGGGACCTCCAACGAGACAGGACAAGGAGCTGGCAGGACCCCCGGCAGGAGAGTAGACGGCGGGACCTCCAAGGGGACAAGACAAAGGGTTGGCAGGACCCCCGGCAGGAGAGTAGTCGGCGGGGCCTCCAACGGCACAGGACAAAGGGTTGGCAGGACCCCCGGCAGGAGAGTAGTCGGCGGGGCCTCCAACGGCACAGGACAAAGGGTTGGCAGGACCCCCGGCAGGAGAGTAGTCGGCGGGACCTCCAACGAGACAGGACAAGGAGCTGGCAGGACCCCCGGCAGGAGAGTAGACGGCGGGACCTCCAACGTGACAGACATACGATTGGTAGGATCCCCGGCAGAGGAGTAGTCGACGGGGCCTCCAACGGGACAGGACATGGAGTTGGCAGGACCCCCAGCGGAACCTCCAACGGACCAGGACATTGGGTAGGGACTTGAGACGTGACTCGAGAGGGGACTCGAGAGGAGACTCGAGAGGAGACTCGAGAGGGGAATCAAGGGGGGACTTGAGAGGAGACTTGAGAGGGGAACTAGAGAGGGGACTAGAGGAGGGACTAGAGAAGGGAACTCGAGAGGGGAACTAGAGAGGGGAACTAGAGAGGGGACTCGAGGAGGGACTAGAGAGGGGACTAGAGTAGGGACTAAAGGAGGGACTAGAGGAGGGACTAGAGGGGGAACTGGAGAGGGGACTCGAGAGGGGACTGGAAAGGGGACTCGAGAGGGGACTGGAAAGGGGACTCGAGAGGGGACTGGAGAGGGGACTTGAGAAGGAACTTTAGAGGAAACTGGAGATGGGACTGTGGCAGCTGGGGCCAGAGCTGGGTCTGGAACCATTGCTGCGGGGGCCGGAATTGAAGCCAGAATCATGGCTGTAAGGTCCGGTTCTGGAGCCGGAAACATGGCTGTAAGGTCCGGTTCTGGAGCCGGAAACATGGCTGTAAGGTCCGCTTCTGGAGCCGGAAACATGGCTGTAAGGTCCGGTTCTGGAGCCGGAAACATGGCTGAATGGGCCGGCTCTGGAGCCGGAATTGAAGCCAGAATCATGGCTGTAAGGTCCGGTTCTGAAGCCGGAAACATGGCTGTAAGGTCCGGTTCTGGAGCCGGAAACATGGCTGTAAGGTCCGGTTCTGGAGCCGAATCCATGGCTGCTGGGGCCAGAACTGGGTCTGGAACGATGGCTGTGTGGGCCGGTTCTGTAGCCGGAACCATGGCTGCTCGGGCTGCTAGCCTGGCCTTGCGACGACTCCTCTTAGGAGCCGTTTGGAGGCTCCGTGGACCTCCAAAAGCCAGACGAGTACCAGCGAATGGCTCCTGGACTGTAGCAAACACTGGGTGAGAAGCAGGGGCTGACGCCAGACGGACCACACCGATGCGTGTGGTATCAAAAAGGGAATCTGGAGACCTGGGTCTATCAGGATCGGGAAAACAAACCGTGAGGTAATCCAAAAGCCAGGCCGGTAAGAATTGAACCAAATATTGATTCCTCAGCGTAAGGTGGACTGCATCTGCCAGAGCAGCATCTCACTGCTGAACCCTGACCGCTCCTATCCATCGATGAGCACAGTCAGACAAAGAAAAGGTATAATCCACTAGTTCCTGCTCAAACGGATCTGCTGGGCCCATATCGTGGTCGGTTCGTAATGTTACGGTGTGTGAAGCAGGTAGGACCCAAATGCAGATTAACGTGAAAATTCCTTTATTTCAAGGCTATACTAACAAAGACAGAACACAACACTCACCGAGGACAAGCCAAATCACAAGACGAACCAACACTGAACACAGGAAGAGAACAGACTAAATACAGGGAGGGGTAATCACAAGACGAGAAACCGCCGGGCAGGGGAGGAGAAACACAAGGGCCACAGGTGAACACAATCAGACAACTAGACACACCAGGGAAACTAAAGACAGGAGGAAAAACACAGGGAAAAGAACCAGACAATATACACGGAGGAAAACACGACAGGGAGAACAGCAAAACACCCAAAACAAGACATACAAAACGTGACATAACACAATAATCGTAACAGTAAACCTCTCTCTCCAGGCTGGCCATGTCCCCTCTGCCCTAAAAACCACTGTCATTAAACCTCGTCTCAAAAAACCCTCCCTTGACCCAGGAGTCCTGGCCAACTACAGACCCATTTCCAACCTCTCATTTCTATCAAAGGTGCTGGAAAAACTAGTTGCAGCACAGCTCTAGGACCATCTAAACTCCAACAACTTATTCGAAAAGTTCCAGTCTGGTTTCCGCACAGGCCACAGCACAGAAACAGCCCTGGTCAGGGTCACCAACGACCTGCTGATGACAGATGATGCTGGCTCTCCCTCTCTCCTCATCCTCCTCGATCTCACTGCAGCTTTCAACACCGTCGATCACGACATCCTCCTCCACGTCTCCACTCCACCATCCGAGTCTCTGACTCTCCCCTTGACTGGTTCAGATTAATAATCGGGTACCCACGATGTGACCTGTGGTGTCCCTCAAGGATCAGTTCTCGGCCCCACCCTTTTCACACTCTACATGCTCCCCCTTGGCTCTATCATCAGCTGACATGGAGTATCATTCCATTGTTACGCTGATGACACCCAACTGTATCTCAGGATCAACCCTACCTCCTCTGCAGCCCTGCCTTCACCCACACTCACTGCCTGCCTGGTGGAGATACAGGCGTGGATGAAGCAAAACTACCTGAAACTTAACAGCTCCAAAACCGAAGCCATTATAGTTGGCACCCCACACCAGGTTTGGTCATCCACTCTCACCACCATCACCTTCTCTGGCCAGGACATTACCCTCTCCTCAACAGTCACCAACCTAGGTGTGAAAATGGACGCCCATCTGACCTTTGAGGCTCACATTAAACAGCTGTGCAACAACTCCTTTTATCACCTCAGGAATATCGCCAAACTCCGCCCCACACTCACTCTGTCTGACACCGAAAAGCTTGTCCACGCCTTTGTCTCCTCCAGGCTGGACTACTGCAATGCACTCCTCATCGAGATCCCTAAAAAAAGCATCCAGAAGCTCCAGTACATCCAGAACAGTGCTGCTAGGGTCCTGATGAGGGTGCGCAAATATGATCATATCACCCCCATCCTTAAATCACTACATTGGCTCCCTGTGGAACTGAGGATTGAATACAAGGTATTCCTCCTCACTCACCAGTGTATCCATGGAACTGCCCCTCCCTACCTCAAGGAACTCCTCACCCCTCATACTTCCTTGCGGACCACCCGCTCCTGCAAGCTCCGTATTATGGGAGACCGGGCCTTCTGCTCGGCTGCTCCCAGTCTGTGGAGTGCTCTCCCCGACCACATGAGAGCACCACAGACCGTGGATGCTTTGAAAAAAGGCCTCAAAACCCATCTGTTCAATAGAGCCTTTTCCTAGACCTTTTATTTATTACTACCCTTTTATCTATTTTATTGTTTGTTTTTACTGCTTTTTATTCATTCTACCATGTTGTGTACTGTTTTTATTTTTGTTCCATGCTCACTGCTTGTAGCACTTCAGGATTTGAACTGAAATATGAAGTGCGTTATAAATGAAACCCATTATTATTATTATTATTATCCATCCTGCAGGTACAGTAATGGCTCCAGTGTAAATAAACTGTATGCCCCATCCATAAAACATTTACTAGATGAAAGACCTTACCTTAACCCTGTAATGTCTTAATATAGAAGTGTAGCCATAGTTAAATTCCATATTTTGTAGAAAATGATTGTGTTCACTAACTTCCAAATGACTTTTTAGCATTTTAGGAACATGTTTGGTAATGACTTGACCCTTTTCAGACAGAGAACCGGTGAAACAGGTGGAAACTGACCTTGTTCTGGGCCTGGTGCTGGGGATCGGCATCCCTCTGCTGCTGCTGCTGCTCCTGGCTGCTCTGGCCTGCTTCTGCTGCAGCAAGAAGACTGCGACCGGGGAGTGAGTAACACCAGAGCACCATTCAGTAGATTCTACACACCATTTTACTTAGCACACAGAATGCATGACTAATTCAATTATACACATTAGGGTTTTTGATGTATTATTTCACTTTTCTGTACTGACAATGATTATATATCAACCAAAGAATATGTATATTTTAAGTGTCAAACATTCCTGAAGGCTTGAAAGGTGTTTCTTAAATGTTTGTAGATTGGTCAGTTTAGATTCTCAATGGTTTCAAGTGGTAGACCAATTTTGCAGAAAAAAAAGAAGATCCATAGAAAATTCAAAAAATAATAATTTTCTACTCTTTGAAACCATAACCTTTATTCTTATGATCATAATTTTGCCTAGATATGTCTCTATTTGAAAATGTGCAGTACATAACTACGCTTTACTGTATTTTATACACAATCACAGGCCATTCCTCATCACCCATCTTCTCCATGACTGGCCACTTAATCAATTTCCTAATATGAACAATATGAATATGGTCTTGAGAATTAAGTCTAACTAATCTTTAGTACCGGTTGCGATAGAAACGTCAACAACAATTTCACTTTAGATTCATTTTCTGAATATTTTTTATGTTGCATACAGCTTCTCCTGGCTATTCTAGATCCTTTCATGGTTGCAGTGCATGTGTGAAGAGGCTAAGACTATCAGCCAGAGACCCTTCGTGCTTTTTTCTTTTGGCACCACCCTTCTGCCATACTAAATGTTTTTTGCCTCACTAGAGTTCTAAGAATAGCAAGGTTCTCTCTTCATATTTCATCCATACAACAATCATCTTCCGGTGTGCATAACTCATGTACATGTATTCTGGTATGTAATGAGCATTACTGCCTCACTACAGCCATGCTAAGAATATCTCCATAGTCAAGCTTTTTAAATCAATGGCCATTGTGGTTCATTTAAACTCTCATGAGTAAAAAAAACGGGATAGATAGGTCAGCAGCTTCTATTTTAGGGTTCCTTTCAGGTAAGCACAACATTTAGTGCTGGTGAGGAAGACTGCACACACACAGTTTGACAGCCAGTGTTTTAAGGTACAGTAGTCAAGTAGGTCTGCCCAGAGACAATCCTTTATAGCAGCTTGAAGGCTTTACATCTTGTCCTCTGCACTCTTGCTGCAGCACTGCTTTCTCGTATTAACTTCTCAGATGGAGGACGGACTGCCCACTCTCTTACTATATTAAACAAAAAACACTTCCTACTAACAGCTTTGGTCCGAGTTATGAAACTGCATTTTGGTAACACTGAAAAAAAATCTGAATTTAACTTTAGAGCTACTGTTTGCTCACACACAAAAAAGGTAAAAACAGCTATACTCATCCAATTATATATCTTAAAGGAATAGATTTTTAAAAAACATTGCTAAAGAACAACTCATATCCAGATGCATGTGTGCGTGTGAATGTGCATAGCAGTGCATTATAATGTTCATGAGTCCTTGGCCACAGCATGTGTGTACAGATGTATGGCATCTGGACCAGGTGTTAGTGGGCCAGAGAGACACATAATCCCCCTGGTGACTGGCCTGCTTTCTCTGCTATTAGCAAAGTAGACCCTATGGATATAACGGCCCTGGTCGGCAGCAGCATTGTGGGATTATGTTGTTAGATTAGAGTGAATGGGCAAAAGACAGGGAGGAGGTAATGCTGATGTCCTTCAATAAAAATGAATGATAGCAATACTTGGATTATGTTGTATGATATAAAAACGGTCCCAGATGTAAAGTGGTGGGTTTTCAATGTTCCTTTTTTACTTCCCACAATCAAATGTAGGTCTTTAAATGGGTTTCCAGAATTGTATCTATAGATCATTATAAAATCAGCATTATAGATAACTATTTCGTTTTTTGTTGTTGTTTTTTCATTATCGTTTTTTTACAGTGGATGCAAAATGTATTGACAAAACAAAAAGTATTTACAACAAATATATGTAATATGGTCACATGCAAAGAAAATAAGGAAAACAAAGAGATAAAGAAAAAAGAAAAATACAAAAAAGGGTAAAGAAAAAAAGGAGACAAGGAGAGGAGAGAAGGAAGTTTATTGTACTATTTGATCATGTTAATTTGTTCCATTGTAGAGGGGAGTCTCTAGCCAAGCTGATATGAAGAGGAATCAGCACGATAAACTGCAAAAAAGAAGACCAGGTTTTAATAAAACAGATTGTATTGTCTTTTGAGGTTAAAGAAAGTTGTTCCAGGTTTGCATGATCTGTTAAAAGATTGCCCCAATGATTTATTGATCATTTTGTTCTGTCTTTCCAACAGATTCAAATAGTTTTCTTTGCCAAAGTTATTGCAATAAGGATGAAGGTTTGGAGAAGTTGTGGGAGGGTTCAATCGAAGAGATCTCCTAAAAGAGTGATGAGGGGGAGGGGGGATGGAGGATCTCTAACTATCTAACTATTTTGTTTTTAAAAACTGTGGGGGCACTTTTTTCAGATCAAAAATACACAGCCTACATTATTATTGCGCGTACCCCGCAAAATATTAATATATTTACCTGTATTTTTAATCAAATAGGGCTTTCACCATATCACACATCCTGGCATAGACACAATGATACAATGGACTACTGTTTAAAAAATAAACGACTTGGTGGCAAGAACTAATAAGCCTACACTGTAAAAAAAAAAAAAACGGTAAAAATCTGGCAGCTGGTGCTTCCAAAAACTTACAGTGAAATACCCTAATTTCAATAATGGGAAAAAAACGTAAATTCACAGTAAATATAATGAATTTCCTTTACAGAGAAACACTGTTATTTTACAGGTATCTTCCCTTGTTTATTACGGACATAATTTAGAGTTAAGCATGTAAAAACTGTTATTTTACAGTTTTATCCTAAATTATTACGGTCAAACACCTTCAATAAAGTGACAGAACTTAAAGTTCAGCAGTGAAACACTGTTATTTTACAGTCAATAACCTTCAATAAAAGTACAGCACTAAAACTTCTACGGGCAAAAAACCCGTAAAAAAACGGTCAAATGACTGGGAGCAGCAGGCTGCCAAACAAAAACCATAACATTAAAGTAAAAAAACTGAAATAAAGTGCAAAAGCAATTAATATACAGGAATTGTCCTTAAATATTTTACAGGAAAACACTTTCCTCTCTTTTCAAAATCCATTGTCTTAAAATGTTACATTCAAATACCTTAAATAAAGTTCTGATGAGAAAAACTGTTTTTTTACATATTTTTTTTATTAGATTTGTATGATCTTACACCAACATAAATACAGAACCTAAAGTTCTACAGCTAGAATACTGTTATTTTACAGCTTTTTACATTTTCCAATCAAACAGGTTCAACAAAATGACATCACAAAATGTTCTGTAGGAAACAATTACTCTGAAAACTTATATATATATATATAAATATTTGTAGAATTATAGAACAACTAATGAATACAGCATTTCATATTTAAACATCATACTTATAAACAGTAGAAACAAAAAGTAAGTAGAATTTTTTTTAAGATTACTTTGAAACATTCTCAACTGAAAATAACAAGATTTACAAAATGGCAACATATGTTCACATTGTCCATTTGAAGGAGCAGTGTGCAGGATTTAGTACGTCTAACATTGGGGATGTAGGTTCCAACCAATGGATTACTTGTTCACTCACCCTCCTATCCAAAGTCTGTAGGAGAATGTATGTTGGCTGCAAAAAACATGAGGCCCAATCATGTTTCCTCTGTCCATTCTGCGCTACTGTAGACGTGGCAGTGCAACCTTATACAGGACAAACAGATCAGAATCAGAAACGGGTTTATTGCCAGGTAGGTTCACACGTATGAGGAATTGCACTAGGTGTCGTGGTGCATACAAATAAAAAAAAGTACACAGATAGCAAACTATATTAAGAACACTAATAAAAATATAGTAAGATAGCAATAAAATAAAGCAGTAATTTACATCGAAATAGAATGCAATAAATGATAGAATATAAAATATGTGCAGTAAGCAATATTTAAACATTGCATTATTTACCATCCTGTGATCTCCATTATGTAATGCAAAGAGTCTGCGTTGTGGCTGAGGTAAAGTGTCAGTGGGGGGGAGCGGGCCTTGTTGAGGTGGAGAGAGGTTTTGGTCCTGATGGAGAGAGGTTTTGGTCCTAATGGAGAGAGGTTTGGTCCTGATGGAGAGAGGTGTTGGTCCTGATGGAGAGGTTCTGGTCCTGATGGAGCGCGGAGGGGAGTGAACAGTTTGTGTCCAGGGTGGGAGGGGTCGTCCACTATCTTCCCGCCTCAGGGTTCTGGAGGCATGCAGGTCGTGGAGGGATGGCAGATTACAGCCGATCACCTTCTCTGCAGAGCGGATGACACGCTGCAGCCTGCCCTTATCCTTGGCTGTGGCTGCAGTGTACCAGATGGTGATGGAGTATCCTCGGCTGTGCTTTTTTGGTGAGGGAGCAGATGTTCTGCTCCCGTTTGAGGTCCTGGGCGATGATGGTGCCCAGGAAGCGGAAAGATTCCACAGCAGTTACTGGGGAGTCACACAGAGTGATGGGGGTGGGTGGGGCTGCGTTCTTCCTAAAGTCCACAACCATCTCCACTGCCTTGAGAGCGTTGAGCTCCAGGTGGTTTTCCCCACACCAGGTCACCAGATGGTCCATCTCCCATCTGTAGGCAGACTCGTCCCCACCAGAGATGAGTCCGATGAGGGTGGTGTCGTCTGAACTTCAGTAGCTTGACAGACTGGTGACTGGAGGTGCAGCTGTTGGTGTACAGGGAGAAGAGCAGAGGGGAAAGAACGCAGCCTTGAGGGGAACCGATGCTGATGGTCCGGGAGTCAGAGAGGTGTTTCCCCAGCCTCACGTGCTGCTTCCTGTCAGACAGGAAGTCTGTGATCCACCTGCAGGTGGAGACGGGCACGTGCAGCTGGTAGAGCTTGTCCTGCAGCAGAGCCAGGATGATGGTGTTGAAGGCGGAGCTGAAGACCACAAACAAGATCCTGTCGTAGGTTCCTGCTGT